TGGCAATAATGCTAAAAGTTCTTCTTTGGGATCTGTAGATGAAGTAAATCTTAAAAGAGAAACTTGCGCTATGTCATTTTATGTCACAAGACTCATCAACTGCTATTGATAAAGCTGAAACCAGTTTAAGATCTTTGATTTCCTGGTTGATTACATTCGAAGACACTTTTGACAGTTCTATCTTTCACTGTTTTAGCAAACAATAATAAATCTTTAATTTCTTTTTAGAATATCCGCTTTGTTCTTAAAATCTCGAAATAGCTCTTCGAATGTATTTATAAAACAATTTTTTATGTATTCGCCGTCTCTATATGGTTTCCCTCTTTTAGCAATCTCTTGAAGAATCACAAAACGTGTAGTATCAATATTATTGGAAGATTGCATCCAGTAATTGGTGTTTGGTGTATTTAATTATGGCAAAGCACACGAGGGCTATCTGCCTAAAGGGAGGGATGCCTTTCGTGGAGGACTTTCTAAGGGAAACTGGCTCGTATACACGTTACACATGGGGAAAACCACGAAAACGCCCATGCAGCCAGCCCGTTCGCGGGATTCGAACCTCAGACCGAACTACCAGTGTTCAGCGTCTTTACCGCTCGGCCGCTGGTGGGCCATCCAGTAATTAAATACAGAATTTGATTTTTCTTGACTCTTCTGAAGCTCCTCAGGAGTTTTCTTCCTTGCATCACCAACAAGATATTTAGTAGTAAACGATACGTATTTAGTAGTGAAGGTCTCTCCACATATGTTTTTTTTTTTTTTTTTTTTTTTTTTGTTATTAGCCAATTTTTCCTAACAAATAAGACAGGTCGGAAGGCCATTTGAGTTTCGAATAAACGCGAAAGTTTCAGCTCATTAAACTTGAAATTCACTGTGGATTTCATCTTCCGTTTTTCTTTGCTACTTCATTGCAACCACGCTGTTTCGAGAAGGAATGAATTGAGCAGAAATAGCGAAATGACTGAGGACCAGCAAGGCAATAAAACAACGATATTCCGGAACACAGGGAAACAAGAAATGTGCGTTTCCACCCATGAATTCATTCCCCCTTTTAAGTGGTTTTTAAATACAACAGAGGAAAACCCTTGCATTAGCAACTGCACAACAAGCCTCCTGGTCCTGACTTAACTGGCTCACAATCGAACGCGGATATCAGTGTTATTTTTGTCGATACAATTGTACTGAAATCAGTACAATGGCCCCATTTATCAATACATCAGTAAAAATCTTACTAGAATCAGTGCAATGGCAATTTAAACCTGATACACCAAATAACGTAAAAATGAAATTTCGTGTCAAAATATCTGGGTTTTTAGTTTTTAGAACTTTTCAATTTGAAGTGGTTTCATATTATACGCCACCAAAATATCGTCTCCGCATTTTATGTTGCCTAAATTCGGTTGCCAGGAAAATTTTTCTTTCAGATGCTGGAAAAAAAACTTTGAATTTGAAAGGTCTAGAAGCTAAAAATTCTGATATTTTGAAACTAGATTTCATTTTCACATTATTTGGTTTCTCATTCAAGTTAAATCTGCCATTGAATGGTATATAAATTCAAAGTATTCCAATAGTTAAAACTTGGCATAAGACAGTTACTACGACAGCACAATTTGATTATAATCAGTACCATCAAAACGTCGAAATCTGTACAAATAAATTTCGGAGGAATAACATTGGTAAATATGTTTTCGGTTGTTTCTATGCTTGTGTAAAATTTAACAGCCTTTGTATTGTATTTTCTAGATCTTCTTGCTCTTATATGCGCGCACCTGCATGTGCTATTTTGTGGAAAAGCCACACTCAAGGAGCCAGAAAGCTACATTTGGTTCGCGAGCCACGGTTTGCCGACCACTGAATTATAAGATTTGCCAGTATTTCGAAATAGAGTTACAGGGTTACTCTCAGCATCTGAAACAAATCGGAGTGTTTAACATGGTGATATTTTTGTAACATAATTGGTGCTGATAAGTTATTTCGGATTGTTATGGAATTTTTTTTTACAAGAAACATTACTTTATTTGCGAAATGCCTGTATTACAGACTATCTGTACAAAGATGGTTAAATGTTTAAAATAGTTTGATGGCTCAGCAAGGGAAATAACTGATATTAAAAATTTTAGCTCAATTTATTGGATGAGAAAAATAATATCCGAGACCAGAAAACAGAAACTGGCTCCTGTCCGTGAAATTTTTATGATTCTGAAAAATCTTCCTTGTTAAATTCTTTTTCTAATTTTTGTTTACACTTAACTTATGTAGAAAATCCCGCTATGCCACTGTTTGCTAACATCAGATGATGAATACTTTTCGATCTAATTGTCGCTTAAGTGGCACTTTTTTTTTTCCTTTTTCAGTATAACTGCCATTTTATAATAGCGGACATGTGTGCCAGCTGAAGCGCTTCTTCCACCTTGTTTCATCAGCGGAGCGTATTGAGTTTTTCAAAAATCAGGAAGCAGCTGCATATGTCCTTTCTGTCCTCTCTTGGCCATGCATTTAATCTATGAGGCAAAAAAAGTTTCTTAAATTGCTAATTTTTTTTCTTAGGCTTTGTTTTTTTAATCTGGAATTCGTTTACCCCCAAAAGTATCTTTAGTATAGTTAAACTTGTTTTGAATGTTTGAACTTTGTTATGAATGAACTTGTCCCAAATGAGTAAAAAAAAAAAAAAAAAAAAAAAACTTACAATTACGAGAAGGGGGCAGCATATTTTAATCTCAACTGTTAAAAAGTAAAATAAAACTGTGCATAACATTAGCAGAGCAGCAACCTTGCATTTGGCGTAGATATAATCAAGGACTAAATCTACGCCAAACACAAGGCTATTGCTTTACTAATTTTATATTTAACTTTGGCGAGTTTCTCATCTGTTTTGAAAGCCATGCATATTTTATGTTAATCCTCGGTCTGAAATATATTTAGATGGAAGATTATCCATCCTCATTATGATGTGAAAGGATTATTAGATCATTTGCAAACACGAGATCAAAGCTGTGCAATTCTTACACACTTCCCATTTAAAAGGTTCTGGATTTAGATCCCAGTGAAAGCCAACATTCTCTAGTGAAGACTGTTTAAAAATAACAGTTAAGCAGATACCCTCACGCGCTTTTCCATAATCCGATTAATTCAGTTCAGTCCTAAGTGTACCCTTAGGGATAGGCGGAGTTTTCTCGATGATGATTCTCAAGGTATGCCTTGTTCTATAGATGGGTTCAATGAGAAGGATATATCCGGCAAGATCATAGCCAAATTCCTGAAGAATTTTATTATCTCCAATAATTAAGAAAAGTTATGAGAATCTGGCTATTGATTTCTGATCCTGGACTCTGGTCCCAATTAAAACTTACATTTTACAAATTTATCAGCTAAGCTATGGCAGAGAAAGGTGGCTCCATCCATCGTTGCTACACTTGGTAGGGATATATACTGCTTACAATTATTATGCTATTAATTTCACGTGTTTTGATACTAAATCTTTAAAAACACACGACAGTAATACAGGCTGGAAAGTGATTTATAGTTTTCATTTCAATTTTCCAAATGAATAAGCAGAAATATACACGAGCACTATTAAAAATACAGTTGATGCTCTTTATAATGACATCTCGCATCTTAAAAAAAAAGGACGTATATAAATTGTTGTTAAAAGGAAAAGGGATTTAATATAGAATAATACCCCGAAGTTACGCAATAGGACGGACGAAATGCGCATAAGTCGAGATATAACTTTGCACATAAATGCATATAAATTTTATTTAAATATTAGCATGAATATTAATAATTAAAATATGATTAAATATAAAATTATTTAGAAAAATCGTATGTAATAAAGCATGTAGATTTCATACGTATCAGCGCAGAATAGTATTGTCCAGTATAAAATAGTTCTTTCGATCCGGCTTCAAAAAATTTACTCGTCTAACGACTCAGCGACTTTTTTTAATTACATAACATTTCTTCATTGCAGATTTATTATTATTTTATTCCTCGTAACCTTCCTTGTTATATTCTGTGTTCTCCAAATTTCGTAACCTTTTTAAACTGAGCCGAGACCCCCTTTCTGTCAAATTGCAGTTGCTGTATGCTTTTATGGCTGATTTAAACCTGAGGTATTGACGCTTTCGGTAGTAGTTTGCTTACACATCTCTATAAGCTCATTAATTGTCAGCTTATATGACATTCTCGCCTTCTTCCATGCGTGATCTCATGGTGTAACTTGTTGCACGCTCGGCTGCCAGTCGGAAGATTCGGAATTCAAATCCTAACTATGGTGTAGTTAATTTCTCCGCTTCCTTGGCTTCTAAAAATTATAGTAAAATCTGTTTGCTATGTAAAGTTCGTTAACATCATTCATCACTACCAACTTCCAAATCTGGTTGCCTAGTAAGACTGGCAACTTCTTTTCATTACCTGAAGAGTGACTTGGTCAATTTTTAGCATTGTTTTCTTCACTATTTTCTCTTTTAAAAAAGAATGAGCAAGTTTTCTTTCACACACCATTCATGGTTTTTTGGGTAAACTTCATTACAAGCGATTCTTATGGCATTTAAAATACTGAAATGTGTAAGGAACCGGATGAGGGGGAAATAAGGAACCGCTTAAAACGTCGCGTAAGTCGGGGTATTACTGTGCTCTCTTTCATCTCTCATGTTAATAGAACGCTATAATGAGCGGTCGTATAGAAAGTTTCGACGATATATTAAATACGTATTTGTATAATTTTTCTTCTTTACATCAGCAGGTGTGCGGAACCTCCGTTTTCTTGATTCTTCCCGAAGGAAAGCCTCCGATATATGCATCTACTGCTAGCATTGGGCGTAAATTCGTTTACAACTTTTGAAAGGGAAAAGCTGGCCTTAGATAATTAACAGCCTCTCACGTTTTAAAACATTATTTTTCTGCTTTTTTAATTAGTCTGATTGTATAAAAATTAACTCCTATGTATTATAAAAAATTCTCACTTTTGATATTCATATGTTCAGTATTTTTTCCCGTAGCTACGTGGCCCGATTATTCTGAATGCGGATATTCAACTAGGACCGCACAGCTCTTCAGCCGTACCGGTGGATTCCTGGACATTTCTAACATTGTGCCGGACTCGGTTTCCTAGGTCTATCATCTCCATTGGATGGACGACTGATATCTTACCTGCAACTTATCTCAAAATAGGGTAAGCAGCAACAACGATTCACATTTTCTTGCAAATGTTTTATTCAATCACATTAATTTAATATAGCTTTGAAAGGACCTTGCTCATATTATCAATGGAAAATATTCACATGAAACCAGTCAAGAAACTTCAGCCTAGTTCGAAGCTCGAACTATTATTTTCTGAACGTATTAGCTAAGGAAGGAGGATTCAAATAGTTCTAGGTACAAGTTAATACAACACATGAATTTTTTTTTTTTTTTTTTTTTTTTTTTTTTTTTTTGGTGATATTTGAAGTACTGCATAAATGCATTTTTGGTAAAATTTGAGTTTTAAGAAAGAAGAAGGACATGAAAAAGAGTATATGCCAATAATTTAAGTAAACTTCATTAAATAGTTATGTAGAGTTGGTTTTTGAATAAGGGGAATCTCTGAAGATCATATGTAAATGTTCTAATTTATGCTTACCATGTCTATTCAGTTGCTGCCGGATGGAAGCTTGCGTGATGCAACAAGCAAAAGCTGTATCAGTCTCCTCTCGTCGTCTCAGTTCTTTATTTAGAATCTGATAATTCGGCTGTGCGCAAAATTTACTCTCTTTGTTTTCTTCTGTTTATTAGTCCATATTATTGGGAAACAATACCTCGGAATAATGCTTATGGTTTTTTGTTACATTTGAGGAGAATCTACATTTGTTTCGCGAAAGCGAATATCCCACTATTCAATAGTTCGGTTTCCAATAATGTATGTGTTATCTGTAAGCTTGCTGCTAAGGATAAAGCATCCCTTCCATGTAAATATGGTAAAACATTTCTTGTAATAATTATGCTTCAACTAACAATTACTTTTAAAGGAAATTTGGTGTTTCCATGGCACTGAAGGAGACTGCAGATCATGTAAGCAACTACTCCACTGCCTTATGCTTCCAGTGACATGATGCATATCAGCTGCAAATCAGAAGAATGGGGACTCATCATTTACTCTTCCTGAACAAGGCTAGAAACAATTTTGTTTCGTAATGGAAACATATAACACTATATTCCTATTTCTGTGTATGTGATTATGGCAAAGCCTTGAGGGCTGTCTGCCTAAAGGGAGGGATGCCTTCGTGGAGGACTTTCTAAGGAAAACTGCCTTGTGTACACGTCACACATGGGGAAAACCACGAAAACGCCCATGCAGCCAGCCCGTTCGCTGGATTCGAACCTCGGACCGAACTACCAGTGTTCAGCGATTTTACCGCTCGGCCGCTGGTTGGCCTCATATTCCTATTAGACACACAAAATTAATGATAGAAACTTACGAAAACATGAAGTCTTTCGTATACAAATGAAAACGGCAGATTTATATCGATTGGAAAACTGAACCTCTAGTATTTGGATTTAGCTAACTTATATAAAGTACTCTTTCATCTGTGAATGGAACAGTAGAAACCGAAGGACATACTTCATAAGGAGGGAATGGCTGTTAAGAACATCACTGAGACCTGGATCGAAGATCATTGTAAATGCAAAATTGTTGACCGCAGTTTGATGTCATTATCACATTTGCATATTAAATTAGGACTCATGAAAAAACTTCGTCAGAGCCATGAGCCCACATAGCACAACATTTTTTTTATCTCAGAGATAAGTTTTCTCATTAAATAAGATGAAATTTTTTCCAAGCTCTTCGGAGATACAGACTTAAGAGATGTATATCATTGTGCTGGAAAAGAAGCATCGAAAGCTTTCGGGGGGGGGAGCAAACATATTTCTTTTAACCAGAAATCTGAATACAACAGAAATCTGATACTTTTAGCAATAAATGATAAAAAAAAAATTAGGGTGTTTATTGTAACAATTTTCAGATTCACAACGTGCTAAACATATTCTTAAAATTTTCTGTATTTAGAGTCTGCGCCGTCTATGAGTTTTACAAACTGTGACAAATCTCCAAAATATTTTAAATTTACTTATTGAAAAAATCACGCTTATAACTAAAGCCTCGAAACTTAAACCCGCGTTTTTTATGGATCAGCTGTGTTACATAAGCCATAACTTATCATTAATAGTCTCAATTTTTATGACTTCAGGTCAATATATAAATAATTTCTGCAAGTTTAAAAGCAAGCTGATATGAAAGGGCACATTATAAAAATCTTCACAATCGTGTATTTCTTAATTTCGATTTCATAATGCGATATATAAATCATATAAAATTATATTAAAAATAGAAATAAATATTCTAATCGTAATAAATATTCTAATCGCGTTTCGAATTTATTTTTCTTCGTCCATTTCTGGATATCGTAATTGGAAGCTTGGGAACACTGACATGAAATTCCGCTCTCGAATATCGTCAGTCTTGTGCATCTCAATAAATTTTCTTGCCCCTACCCATTCTTTGCAGATTACTACTTAAGTCATTGTTCTGATAATTTCATAAATTTAGCGAACTTGTTAAAAATGGAAACTGATTGTAATTCAGAAGTGCACTCCACTGCTTCGTTTTCTTTTCTTTAATTCGATCTCTGGATACCCATAAAATTCCTAAATAATATCCAAACTGTAGAAAAAATATAACTTACAACATTCATTACAACATTCAAAAATTCGTCCTAAATTTAATTCTTGAAACGCCTTTCAGAAAGACATATTTTCAGTATTATCGTTCAAAAAGTCCAAGGTGCTTTGTATTTAAAGCCCTTTCTACCTTTTTTTGTTTGTTCGTCTTAGTGTGAAATGATTTCAAGACTACGCGTATATACGTTCTTAGCAGTTTGAGAACGATGTTTTTGAACATGTAGCATAACTTTAATGGATGAAGGATTAAAAGCATGTTTATGAAATTAATCTGTTTCTTAATCAGTCTCTAATGCAAACATAATTTATGTTAATAATTTTTCACGTGAAATAAAAATAACCATCGTTGATGCTATCTAAATATAGAAATGTAACTATTAATATCTTATTCGTAATATCGTAAAGGAACTTGGCTCTGTTTCATAAATTAAAATTGCCTAATCAGTCAGTATATCGAGATTTTCTGATGATTACTATATGAACCCTATCTTAGTCTAAAATCGAGCAAACTTAAATCGATGTGTTAGACTGGCTACATAGGTATAAGGTATAGGGGTGGGCAAATGCTTATAACTGAGGCCAAAAAATGACTTTTAGTACAACATACGGTCAAGAGCCATAGCAATCTTTTACAGTGACGCTATTGTTTGCAAGACGCGATGGGGTGAATATGGAAGCATCCCACCTCGGTGAAAATTTAAGAAATTGCAATAAAAAATTTTAAAATACGCCAGAAACGGGATCTGGTCCTATTCAAATCATCGAACGATTGACATGCTTTACTGTTTCATTTCCAAATAAAAATTCAAAGGTGAAATGTTCTCTACCTAAACTCTCCTTTCTGTTGAGACCTTTTATCTCAACACTATACCTTTGTTTGATTTAGCTACTAGAAATGATAGGACTATATTATTAGCTACTAGAAGTGATACACGTGCTAGTGTCTCAACTTACGTTGATCGCTAATATAGTCATGCGCGTATAAGCGCGTACATTGTGACAATAAATGCGCACTCGTGCTGATGATTTCAGTAGTTTGCGCAAAGAATAGGATAGGAAAGAGATGAAAATGTCATCTCCGGCCTATTATGAAATCCTGATTTCATAATAGGCCGGATTAAGCAACTAGAAGAGTCACAGTTTGACCCGCGGGCCGATTTTTACCTACCCCTGCATAAGTAACTGCAATTCGCAGTCTATTTTAACATAACGTAATTATAATTTAGACTATTTATAATAGTTACAATTTCATGACAATAATTCAGAGCAATAAATTCTTCAGTTCTTCAGAGGCATTTAAAATTATGAGAGCTTTCTTTTATAAAAAATTCAATTATTACCCCCAATTTATAGTCTGTGCAGTTACTCACGTTACACCTTAGCTGTAACTTAACTTCTTTGTAGTAGCCATATCCTATGAAGGCGACGAGAAATTTAATCCAGGCAGAAGGACCTTATAGCGTTTATCGATAGAGTAACTACTTTAATTCACTAAATTTCAAAATCTGTTATTTTGGATTCCATTTTTTAAATCATTTTGTCTGAAATCAGAATGGGTAATAAAGTGTAGTTGCTAAGAATATATGGAAGAACTTGAGTAATGAACTGCTGCATGTTACATTAATACATCTCAACCCGCATATATGGGAGACAGAATAAAATAAAATTCATTCTACCAAACCATCAGTTTCAGGAAAGAACAAAAAATTTGAAATTTTATCTTTTAAACGAAAAAGTTAGAACGTTGCATACAACTCTTCTAAAGAAAGTTCTCCAATATTGCTGCACCAGGAAATGTAGCTTCTACTGTAGAAAAATAATAGATTGGAAAAACTGATGGATCTTGTGTGATGTACCCATTCTATGGCCACCATGTTCATTTGACATAACCCTTTGGACTTCTTTCGGAGGGGCTATGTTAAAGACATTGTTTACTGTTCAAAAGTGCCAGATCTGAAGACTGAAATCAGATGCTATTGCAGCCGTTGATGACGATATGTTGCACCATACAGAGCTGAAATATTGGCTTGATATTATGCGTCCAACGAATAGTGCGCATGTGGAGGTTGTAAAACTTGAGTCACAAAACTTTGAGACTTGCTTGTGAAAGTGTCACCAAAGGCATAAGTTGTTCCACTTTCAAGCAAAAAACTGTTAAAATTTTGTGGACACTATCACGTCGTTTGAATACGTATGAGTTTTGCATCACCTAAAACTGAAAACTTATATCGTAAATCGGAGACTACTTGCGCAAGGAAGCACGTATTAGCACAATTCTTTTGTATTGTTAATTCTCTTGCTAGGTTTAATAGGAAATAAATTTGATTTCACTTACTACATTTTAAAGAATCAATTTTAATGTGAAAATATTACAGTTGAAAAATAGAGGTATCAGTTACTACTTCTAATGTTTGTCAAACTTAAAGCAGAATTTTTTTCTCCATTTCAAAACCTCTTGAAATTTTGGATGCCATTTATAAATTTATTTTCATGGAATATGAAGGCCCGAAATTAATTTTTATTTTTATTTTCAAGGTATACCCGTGAGTACATTGATCGTATGGTTGCTCTGGTGAAAGAGTATACGCTGATGCAGCCCGTCATGTTCCCAGTACACGCTTCGCTACTCAAATACTCCATTCCGGAAATGCAGCGGTTGCTTTTCCAAGTTCCTAACAGCTCGCTTTGTGTTTGGTCCACCAAGGCCAATCCAATCGAATCCATCGACGAGTTGCTGGCGATAAGGAAGTCCTTCAACATCGGACAAGTATTCTACAAGTTGCCAGATGAACAGCTGGAATGCTTTTTTTCCAACACTTAGTTGGATACTTGTTGCAACTTTTATTTTATCCTAGAATTTTATATCTCCCTCTATCAGCTGTGCTTTTGTCTTTGTGATCAAGGAATTTTTCAAAAGATTTCTGTGTAAATGGATTTTAATTTGACTTGTGGTAGATTCCAGAAATAAAAATTGAAATCAAAATTAATTCAATCGTAAAGAGACATAAATCTGTCATTTTCAGTTGTCTCACGAGCAGTGTTTTACTGTAATAAGATAATATTATGTATATTACTTATTCATCTTGAGCTCCATATATTTACATGGAAACACATTATAACTTATGCAAGGAAGCACATATTAGCATAATTCTTTTGTATTGTTACTTCTCTTGCTAGATTTAATAGGAAATAAATTTGATTTCACTTGCTACATTTTAGAGAATCAATTTTGATGTGAAAAATATTACAGTTGAAAAATACACTACTGTGATACGAATCTACGTCAAATCGCAAGTATGATTAATTAAAATAATTAACATAATCTTCGGACTTAACTTCAGTAACCTACATCCAAAGTATTATACTTCGTTGATGGCGGATAAAAGGTTCAGGAATATACCACAAGGCATTACGTTGCAGTCAGCATTGGGGAGAAGTTCGAAGGATATTTTCTGGTACTCTTGATCTTAGTTGTGATATCGAAAGTTGGAAGGAGCCTTTATATAGGCATTAATTACACTGGGCGAAAATAAATATATTTAAGCTGCCATAAAGTTATTATCAGAGGCATTAGAAACTTACTTCGCCTATATCGTCCTCGATGCTTCACTTGGAATAATCACTGTGTTTGTTTAGTATTCGAATTGCGATTGAGTGTCCCATTCCACCAATTTTTTTGCTTCAACTATGGCTTTTTATAAAAACAGTATTCTAATACAATGTTTCTTTGGAAATTTTTATATGAAAAGAGTATTTTTTCAAATCAGTTCATATTGAGTTTTTTTTTTTTTTTTTTTTTTTTTTTTTTTTTTTTGTACAATGACAAACAGTTTTAACATTTACAGGAAGTGCAGATAAGTTTTTTTTTTTTTCTTTTCTATTTAATTATTGCATTATATATTTTAAGAATGTTTTTGTTCAGAAAACGTCGGAATTTATATTTCTGAATCATTATTATGTTTTGAAGACTTGTGATAAGATTTATAATTTTAAGCGAAAGGAATTTCTCACTCTGTTTATTAATCCAATGTTTTGTTATGTTTTATTTCATCTGTTTGTATACGTCTATTTTAACCATAGAGCTTTTTTGTTTCCACTTTTATTTATTCTAATCCATTTCCATCTTTTCTTTAGAAATACATTTTATTTTAGCTCGAAAATGATAATTTTTAATTTCATAATACAAGTAGTTAAAATATAATGCTAAACTGGTAACTGGTAAACTGCATGCTAACTGGTAAACTGCATGTTAACGATCTTTATTCATAGAATTTAAGTTTGCATGTTTGCTCTTTAAAGCTCTGAATATATACACTGAAAGACGTAGAAAGAGAACTTTGCACAAAAAAAAAAAAAAAAAAAAAAAAAAAAAAAAAAAGCGCGACTTAAGATATTAGATTTTTATATATAGTATTTTTCTAGCATAGGTATTTTGACCAAGTCTGAATACTTATGTTTTTCAAAAATGACATAATTATTATTTTTCCATATTTCGATTCTATGACTCATATTATGCCTAAATATTAAATTTTATAAAATTTGGTGAGAAATTTAAAAATTTATCTTGGCGCACCTTCTTTAGTTTGCGCCAAGAATAATCCACTTGGTGAAATTCTTAATTTATAGTAATATATTTTGCTTTCTCTTTTTTTCATTGTTTACGAGAGGAAATGAAGCGCATCGTTCATTCTTTCAAATAATTTTAACAAATTGCATAAAGCATATTTGGCGTTATTACCGCTTGTAACAAATATGCCAAATTTCAAAACTCGCCAATATAAATTCATCTATATCTTTGGAAATTTTGAATAAAAATCTCTTAATTTTTTACACCCATGCCTAAAACTACATCTACTTTAAAGCTATGGTAAAAATTTTTAAGGTTAGTATAATTAAAAATAATTTTCGAAAAATTATTAAATAAATATAAATTTTTTAAATAAATCAGAAAACATATGTAAATTTATTCGGATTGAACCTAAATTTCGAACTACTAATTCGAAGGCATCAAATAAGTTTAATGAAAAAAAAACGTGATATTAATAAATACATACCACATTCAATTAACATTGAGGAGCTAAAATTTTGAGAACTAATTTTTTAAAAACTACTCGTGCAGTTTTTCGAAACTTCGTACTTCAGGCATAATTTGAGTCATAGAATTGAAATATGGGAAAGGAAATCTCGCATATTTTGACATCATCTAATCCTGCAGTTTTATCCATTTCTTTAGCGCTTTATGAAATAATTAATGGAAAAGGAGAATAACTATGGCAGCTGGCATTCAGTAGCCTTTGCACGGCATCCATTATTGCCGAATTTTTTTGTATGTCAGGAAATTTTCATTTGTACATTTACTGTTTCGTATTTACACTCTTATATTAGACACTTCAGATACATACTCTTACATTAGCATTACTATAATTACAAAATGTTATATTTTATGTACGAAAATATTTGTCTTTTTTATTATATATAAGGATTATTAAAAATAAATTTAAAAGGAATAACATCATAAATAAAGCATAAAAGAAATAGTAAATAAACGAAATATGCATAGGAATTTTAAATGAAATCCGTTCGCGGGAACGCAGAATCCTGAGACATTTAATGTATCAAAACAGGGAAAAGAAATACATTTCAGAAATCACTGACCCTCTTTTATTTAGGAATATAAATATCATAATATTTATTCAATAAATAAGTTTATTGAATTAGATAAGGAAGAGCATGAGTAAATTTATTGAATAAAATAATGAAAGGACTGTAAATAAATTTATTTCCAAAATTAAAAAAGGAGATTTTATGCCAAGTATGTACATCTTTTTTTAATTACGACAAAGCTGCAAACGTCATAAAAGTATAAGTTGAAGATATCATAAATTAAATGTATTTTAGTTTATATCAGTTAGATTTATTATTAAAACATAAAAAGATTAAAATTGTTAAACACACTTTTATTGCTTTTAAATCTCTACGTTTGTTCAGTAGTTTCAAATTGATTAAATTTAAGTTTTTCCAAATGTTAACACTGACAACTGCTATGTGCAAGGAAAGACTGCAGAAAAGAATAATTTGAGAGAGACTCCGCTAAAGACTTTCCGATATCAAAATAAAATACGCTGGAAGTGCGCATTTTTGAAAACAGTTGTATTCTGAAAACATGTCGAGATCTTGCAAAATAATTCGTACATTAGTATTTCTTCTCAGTTGGCTTATGTTCCTTTATAATTTGTTTAAAATGTTTGTCTTGTCTCATAAATACAGAGATTTTAATAGATTAGGATATATGTTACTGTTTTTGATGAATGTGTACGATGTTTCCTAGATAAATAATATAATATTTGTCAAGCAAACTATAGTGTGTGTTGTTACATTACTTCGCTATTGTTAGTTTGATAGTTTATGCAAAACAAAACTTTTGTTATAATTATACAATGTATAGCTATATAAGATTATGCTAATTCTGTGCCCTTCCGACAAAATAATCATAATACCGAGAAAAAGCAATTAATTTTATTACATTGAGAAAAAGAATGTGATGTTTCTATAAAACTTTGAAATGTATTATATATGTATAGTTTCATTAGATTTGTTCTTAATTAATACATATTTTGCATGTATAGATGAAGCTTGGAATTTTTTTAAATCATGAATATGTTGTTTCTAATCAGAACATGTAAACAGTACATTCTATTACTCAAATTAGTGAATGAAATATATTTATATTTCACATGTGATTTTTTTTCCCCTTTCTGTCAATATAGCTATACTGATTTTTGTAAGAAAAATGCCTCGATAGTGTGGTGTTTCGATTTTTAAATTCAATTTCGAGTTCGGTTTGGAAACCTCTTAGTTGTTTATTAAAATAACTGAAACATAATGATGGTTATACTTTATTTATAATGAGGATATTAATTTTTAACGTATTTTTTTAATCTTTTTTGTGATTCATGTTTTCATTTTTCACTACTGCTGTATTTATGACTTACTTGGAGTTAAATATTTTTAAAATGAATATGCAACATAATTCTATGATATAAGTCATCTTCAAATAATAACTGAATTTGTAATCTCTGTAATATACTATTTTGTAATTATGGACATTATGCTTGCTTTAAAAGTGGAATTCACACATTACGCGTATACGCTAATCTGTCCTTCAAAACTAAAGCTGAATTTGTCATGTTTTATAAAAGGCAGTTAGAAAATGTTTGTGTCTCACATTAGTGGTGGGCAACGGTTTTCAATTTAAGAAACTGCACTTTTTCAGAAACTAAATGGATTCAGAACATAATGGATTGTCTTCGGAAATGGTACATTTTCGTGTGGATATAATCCATGAAAAAATTTTGTTGGAGTGTCACACAAGAACATTAAAAGAAAAAAAAAGAGAGAGAGTTCAGTGTTTGCGAAAAGAATTTCGCATTTTTTAGGTAAGATATGTAGATGAGTATCACAGGGGCATTTTCATGTCAATAAAATGTTTGGTGCTAATTAAATTTTCGAAAACTGATAAAGCTGAGCATTTTCTGTTTTGAAAATAATCATTAAAAGATGTGGGGAAAACCAACTTTCATATCCATTTTCATACTTCTAAAGTTAATTTTCAATTTAATTTCAAAATTATTATTGATCAAACTTACTTAATTACTTTCGGGTTTAAACTGGCAGCATAATCTTTTTTAATTCATTATTTAGAATTTTGCTTGAATTTTGTCCAGACTTTGCAAGACTGGTGGAACTTTTTAAAGCAATGAATTTACAGAGTATTGTTGATTCAAGATTTGGCTCGGTCAGACTTGTCAAGTAAACAGCCTCTGTACCATTATTCTTCATATTCTTGAACTTCTGGCTTACATGATACTAAAATGATTACTCAGCTGATGCGCCTGGCTCCATTAGAAGACTAATACTCAGAACCAAAAGAAGACAGGCTGTCTCTTTTCGCAGAAAGGCTAGGTTAAGTTATATGAATATGGCAAGCGCACGAGGACTATCTGCTTGAGGGAGAAATGCATTTGTAGACGACTTTCTTGGAGTAACTGGATGACATTTACGATACATGAGTAAAACCACGAAAATACCATGCATCCAACCCATATCGAGCTACAAATGTTCAGTGGTCTTATTTACCCGACCAGTTCGCCAAAACTTAGAGAGGCGTAAAAGGAACCTAAAAAAGTAGGCGTAAGGAACCTAAAAAATTGATACCCGAAATGGATGCTTCATAATTAGGCTAGTCCCTAATTTCTTCTTTTTAGAACCATTTTAAGTAAAAAAGCATTTGTTAAAATGAAGTTACATTTAGCCTTTATAACCGATGAGTCTCTCATTCGAAACGGAAACTCTTGTAGCATGTACCCTAGCGATTCATTCTGGACAGATCTGCTTTATTGGTCCCGATATTACCTACGAAACGTGCTGCAAAAATCAGTAATTTATTTTCTGAAACTGTGCAGATCTCCATGGGTGCTTTGAAAGAATCGTTTACAAACCTTTGCTCACCACTGAATGATGTATTATTGCATCACTGACTACATTGCATACTTGAATTCCTTGTGATCATTGATCCCTTTATTCATTCCTTTCGCTTTATTAGAAGTGTAATTAGTAAATCGAAAACTCGACGTGTGTGATTTTATGTGCCTTTTGAAAAGCCTTGTTAGTTCAGCATGTATGTAAATTGCTTTACGCTTTTGTTAAACATCGTTCTAGTATATAATATGTAAATAGCACTGATTTTAAGGATGTATTGTTTGTAAAATTTAAGGGCTTGCCAGCCGGTATGCCGTGATTATTTTTAAACTGTCACT